GTGACAGGGGGTGGCGCCGCAACCTCCCCATCGACCCTGCCTTGAGTGTGACAGGGGGCGGTGCCCCAACCCCCCAATCGGCCCTACCCTGAGCGTGACTAGGGGTGGCATCGCAACCTCCCGATACGCCCTGCTTTGTGCATGACAGGGGGCGGCGCCCCAACTCCCCAATCAGCCCTGCTCTGAGCCCGACCAGGGGCTGCACCTAGGGATTGGGCCTGCCCTCTGCCACCCAGGAGCAGGCCTAAGCCAGCAGGTCGTTATCTCCTGAGGGGTCCCAGACTGCGAGAGGGCACAGGCCGGGCTGAGGGACCCCCCCCTCCCCCACCCCGAGTGCACAAATTTTTGTGCACCAGGCCTCTAGTCTATATAAAAGACTAAGCGAATGGCCAACCGGCTGGTAGCTATGACCCACACTGACCACCAGGGGGCAGACGCTCAACACAGGAGCAGAAACCACAGGCATGGAAACATTGAACAGACTAATGAATCTCAGAGAGAAATCGGGAGGGAGAAATGGGGAGGGTGGGAAGAGATTAACCAAAGATCTTATATGCATACTAGAGGCCCAGTGGGGTCCCTTGGCCTTGCCTGCACCCTCTTGCAACCCGGAAGCCCTCGGGGGATGTCAGAGAGCCCCACAGGCCAGGCCAAGGGACGCCACCGGTGCACAAATCTGTGCACCAGGCCCCTATTAGTTTTATAAGACACTAGAGGCCCGATAAACGAAAATCATGCAAGAGTAGGCCCTCGCAGCCCCAGCTGCCTTGAGGCCCCACCCCACACCCACTGGTTGTTCTGGAAGGTCATCCGAAAGGTCGTTCAGGAAGGTCATTCCGCCATCCGGTCTAATTAGCATATTAGCTCTTTATTATATAGGATTACCAGTGGGGGAAACTGGGTAAAGGGTACACAGATCTTTCTATAAATTTCTTACAACTACATGTAAATCTACAAATATCTAAAAATCAGAAGTTTAATAACGTTTTTAAATAGAAGGCAAAGCTAAAAACAGTAGTTGGCTCTACAATTGTGACAGGCCTGAAACACTGAGTGGCCCACCGATCAACAGGCTCTCCCACAGTGGCAGGATCTGCAAACAGCTGAGGGCTCCGCAAGCATCCACAGATGGCCATGAGCAGGCTCAGATGACACAGACACTCCAGTCTGCACCACCGCTTGAAGGAGAAAGTCTCCAACAGGTGTTCTTTAACACCTCCTTAACAAGTACATTAAACAAAGAAGAGCTGAGCCCAGGTTCCAACCCTTCAACGGGTAACAGAATCTAGTTAGACTTCAGTAACTTTTAACTTTTACAGTATTTCTGTTTAGAACCACCTTCATTTCATGTACAACGATACTGATTTTCCAATTAGAGTATCAATATAAAAATTTCCTTTAAAAATAAATGCATTTCAGCCCGGCCGGCATGGCTCAGTGGGAGAACATCAACCTATGAACCAGGAGGTCCCAGTTCGATCCCTGGGTAGGGCATATACTGGGATTGTGGGCTCAATCCCCAGTAGGGGGCATACAGGAAGCAGTCAATCAATGATTCGCTCTCTTCATTGATGTTTCTATCTCTCTCTCCCTCTCCCTTCCTCTCTGAAATAAAAAAAAAAACATATTAAAAATAATAATAAATGCATTTCAGTTGAAAAAACTTTTTAAAAAAATATTAAGCAATTGATTAAGCGGTGTGATAAAAACTGTAACAGTGCCATACAGTGGGACAAACTATACTGAGTATGGTTTGTGAATGTCTGAAGTTTGGGACACACCACTCTCTAGCAGAGGCCTGCAAACTATGCCCTGTGGGCCAAGTCTGGCCTGCTGCCTGTTTTTATAAATAAAATTTTATTGGAACACAATCAGGCCAACTCATTTACATATTGCCTTTGGCTGCCTTTGCACTACAGAGGCAGAGTTGAGTGGCCACAACAGAGACAGTAGGCCCATGAAGTCTAAAATATTTACCATCTAGCCCTGCACAGAAAACTTTCATAGCGTGCCAGGAAGCCATCCCAACTCTAGCCCAGCATCCCATCAGCCCCAGGTTATGAGGCCGAGTGTGGGAGAACAACTAGCTCCAGGCAACAACATCTCCTTCTGAGAAAACATTTCAGCTAGAACTCTCTCCAAATGTATACCCAGCCTGGTATGAGCATTATCTTTATTTTGTACTGGCCTTGAGCTTGACCATGCACTCAGGGAGGGGGTCTTAGTCATCACTTGTATCCCCCACAATGCTCAGCACAGTGCCTGACAAACAGAAGAGTTAGATGGGGCTTATTTATACCCTGCGACCAGCATAGGGCTTTCATGCAGCAAATGTTCACGTTAAATGTCCCCAGGCTGTAGGTTTGCAGAACAACAATCTGCCAAGTTAAAAAAAAAAAAAAAGACATCTCCCCGCGCGCCCCCACCTTGCCTCCACAGCATCAGGTACATAAACAACAGACAGACTCCTGCTTGGAGGTGGATGGTTAGTGTTCAGTAATTATAACTTTGCTGGAACATTGGATTGTAATCACTTTATGAGATCTGCTTTGGTAAATTTCACAAGCAACGAGCTTTAATTAGGTGGGTTACATGAGCAGAGCTGTACAAAATAAAAATGCAATATGTGAAAGCAATCAGAGCGGCTACCTGAATAATCTCCCTTCAATTACATGATTTATCTGTGTTGGTTTTTCAGCTCCTAAACTCTTCACTTAATTAGAGTGTTTTTAAGCGAACACATGTCTCTTGTGGTCTAATATCTTCAGACAAGGAAGTCGGCTATTATGTAGCCAGACACACACGGGGGGGGGGGGGGGGGGGGGGGAGACACTCCACGGATAAGAGTGAAAGGTACTGTTGAGCTACCATTAGCAGGGCCAAAACTTTTATTCACTCGTTAATTCACATCACAAAACATTATGAGTGTAATTATACAAAGTCCCATGCTAGGATCCTGGATGATACAAAGAAAAAATGAGTGTGGAACCTTCTTTCATAAAACCTTGGTGAGGCATCATTAGCCTGTTCAAGCAGGCTACTGCTCAAGATGTTAGTAAAGATGCGACAGAGTTCTAAGGAGTTCTTTCACATGGGGGTTCTTAGAGCCTTTAAAATGTTTCTGTACAACCAAAGCCCCTCCGTGTCATTTGTTCACAGAGTACTTCACCAGACTGTCTCATGGAACACATTTTGAGAAACACTACTGGTAACTACAAAGCTAAAAGAGACAGAGGGGGCCGGGGGAGCAGTGGGTGCACAGGTAAATTTTTTAACAACCAGTTCTCCAAACTGGGAAACAGAAGCCCTGGTGTTTGCCAATTACCATGGTGCAAATACTTCCACCATAGCTGAATTCCAGCTACAAACATGACGTCGCTGAACACAGATTTGGGAACAAATGCACACAACTGGCTCCCGCACTACTGAAGTCTGGGGAGAGAAAGCTCTTGCCAGCTGGGAGGACGGTGGGCAAAGAGAGCAGCTTGGGCTAATCCATTCCCTCTACCCAGTCTGATTTTTCTTGTGACCAGCAGATGAGCTAAGGCAGCTGGGGAGATTTAGAATTTACTGCATGGAAAACTACATTGCCACTTAAAGGCTTTGCAGGCCTCTGTGTGAGGAGTCCCCTGCTCCTCACACACCTCCAGTCTAACTCATACTTAAAATCGTTGTATTCAAGATATTCAAGAACATGGTACAGGGCTCTTGTACTCGGGAGAAGAAATAAAGAGTCCCCAGCAAGAACCCAGAGGATATGGTGACCAGCATGGGTTCGTGGTGCTTACCTGCTTGGCTTTTTGATAAATGACCCCAAATTTGAATGTGTTCTTGACATCATGCTCATCATAGGACACAATCATGTGGGAGGCCTGGAAAATGTGGGAAGAAAAATCAGGTTGTTTATTCATTTGGAGGGAAATGGAGGGGGAAGCACCCATTTCAGTGGAGAGTGTGCCCCCTGACATGAGACACCCACACGCAGAAGGGGAGAGAGGGTGATGTCAAAAGTAGGTGGTCAGGATGCAACTCCAAAGCTCTTAGCTACATCTCAACACCTGAGCGTTCCCCAGTCGTGGCCAAACCTCTGGATCACTGATTCCATTCCCATCCAGATGTGCCGGCCAAGGCCTGGGCACACAGGGGGTCCAGCAGGACTCAGGGAACTGATGATACCCCAGTGTGTTACCTGTGGTGTGAAAAGTGAAGCCAGGCCCCCAAAACTGGTAAGCGAGGGTGACACCAGCTCTCCTTCCACCTGTAATCAGCAGGTGATTTTGACAAGGCACTGCTCCGGCCGGACTTTAATCCCCTTTATCTGTAAGTGAGAGTCTACACGGAGCCCCCTGTTAGGAGTGACACACCCAATACAATCCGCAAAGGGCAAAGAAACCTGACCACTGGTTTTATATCATCTTCCATTTCGCTTCCAAGAGTAGGGATCTGAGGGTCAGAAACGCTAAACTCCAATTGGGAATCTGCTGCTTTTACCGTTACAGATCCGAGTGAGCCACTTAACTTCTCTGGGCCTCGGTTTCCTCATCCGTGAAGTGGAGATGTGTGGTTGTGAAGATTCAATGAGACCAAGCACTTAAAGTGCTGAGCACAGAGCAGCTGTCATCCTCCTCCTCCTCCTCCTCCTCATCATCATCATCATCAATGTAATTCCCCAGAAAGATTAGAGTGGACCCAGCTCAGTGGGGGAGGGAAGATTTGGACGCTATTGGGATATCCTTTGCAATAAAAAGGAGGGATCCAACCTCATGTTACGGGAGAAACAAACCAGGCGCGACTTGTCTGGCCGCAATACGAGGCCCGTGTTAGGTTGCCACACATTACATGTCTCTGGGAGGCCCGCAGCTGCCTGGGAAATGGACACTTGTCGGCTCCCCCTGGAAGAGCACCGCTGGCCGACCCGCAGGGAGCCACCCACTCGCTGCTGGGATGACTCAGAGGAGCAGAGCAGCTGCCCTGCCAGGGAAGAGGCACCCGGCCATGGAGACCTTCCAAGGAACATTCTAAACTCTGTGAATTTTAAAAACACTCACACACACACACACACACACACACACACACACACACACCAGCCAGAGTAACATCCCAGCCGGACTAAGCAGTCCTTCAAATGTAGAAAACATGAAAACCCAGCTGCTCCTCCATTGCTACCAGAGCAGGAGGCTTCCCAAGTGACAGAGAGAACTATGCAAATGGGCGTCATTAGGCTCTCTCCGTGGATATGATCTGACAACAAAAACTGCCCAACTTGTCGTTAAGTTGGGCCGTTATGGTGGGGCTGTAATGTTTGGTTAAACCTCACTAATCCAGCTTTAATTATAAAAAGAAGGGCATTTGCAGTGACAGAAAGTGTTCAGCGGAGTGCAGCATATTACCGCTAAGTGCCTATGGATGCCCAGAGCGCTGGAAAGAGGTGCCTGAGAGAAGGGCTCTGGCGCCTTCTCTGTGCAGAGAGGCCCTGTCATGAGCTCAGCCATCAGCAGAGTGTCCCATCCAATCGTGGACATTTAAGGGTCTGTTCCAGGGGGTTCTGGACGTCCAGCCAGGACAGTGCCTCCCTTCCCCGCCAAACATTTCAGCTCGCGCTCCCTGGCTCTCGGAACTGGGACTCGGGCATGGACCGAACCTGCCCCAGCAAGCCCAGCGGCCACAGCGCAGGCTCAGCTCAGCCCTGCACCCAGCCTCTCTCCAGACCCGCCGGCTCACGAAGCAGCAGTGGGTGCACGGGGCCTCTTCCTGCGGCCAATCTAACGCAATTCGCTGTCTGTGGGTGATTTAAGTCCTGTCCCGCCATAATGGTTCTTCAGTGGGTTGTTGGGTTGTTGTGTTATTATTGCTCCCCCCTCCGCCCCCACGCCCACATCAGAACCGGGGTGAAGACTAGGACAGTCCTAAGGAAACTAATAACTAGAACCAGCCGGTTTATGATGTAGGGCCGAGCAGGGGCTTGTAAGGCCTCAGAGCTGCGGTAACATTGTCAATGAGGAGCTGCAGTCTGGCCTCTTCCTTTTTAGTGGGGGTCTGCCTTCTGCCCCCGTCACTCTCCTGTGATGGCTGACCAGGTCTGCACCATCCCCAGCTAGAGGTGCAACATCCCCCAGCGCTGACTCAGGGCTGCAGGAGCAGAGGAGCTGGAAGGTGGAGAAGCTGCCACCCTGCTAGCCCTCTGCCGCCTGCACACAGCTGGGGACGTCTCCAGCCGGAGACCCAGGCTTGGCCAGTTTGTGAAGGATGAGCAGGGAGAGGGGAGACATGGAGGTTTATCACAGAGACCCCACAAACCCCCACCAAGATGCAGAGGATTCCCACAGAGCCCCCGGTGTACAGATCCGAGCCCAGCGGCGGAGCCCTGGGGGAGGGGAGGGGGGACATCTCACCTTGGGGTACAGGACAGGGCTGAATTTCAGTCCCACTGCGTCATCGCAGAACGCCTGAGTAGGGAAAGAGAACACACAGTTCAGGAACCACATCTGGAGAGCAGCTGGGCTCCCCTGCCCACTGGGGAAAGCGCACGGGAGGCCAGGGCCTGTGGTGTCGGGAGGCCTGGCGTTGGATCGGGGCTCTGCTGCTCACTAGCCAGTGGCCAGGGAAGTCAACTAACTTCCTGGGTTCCTGATGAAGTGAAGCCACCGAAGACACTGGGCACAATTCCACCGAGCATTCCCGCTCCCTAAGTGCGGGTCCAGCTGACCATCCTTCTCTTCCCACTGGCTGATTCGGCTCCCAAGTTCCCAGGATCCCAGAACAGACACAATCCCCCCCCCACCTCCCCCCTTCCCTGCCAACCCCTCCCTCCCCGCCCGGCCAGCTGGTGGCTCCTGCCTGAGGGCTCCTCCATTTGCATCAACAGCCCAGCCATCCCTAAGCCCAACTCTCCTCTGCTGTGCAGGCTCCCTAGCCACCCCTCCCTCCTCTTCCTCCTCTGAAGTCCTACTCTCCATACCCAGCCCTCCCTTTCCACGTCTCCTGTCTCCTGAACTAGCTGTGAACTCGGGGGCAGAGGCCCCGGATTATACTGAGGATGAGATAGGGAGGGTGTTGGGAAGACAGAGGTGTCTGCCAACAGCCCCCCACCCCCCGCTCCACTCGCCAACCCCATCCATGCAGTCAAGGGCCAGAGAGTACAGTGGCCTTCCCCGCCCCAAGGGACAAGCCTGCACCCCCACCCAGAGGCCAGCCCTGGGCTAGAAGAGGCAGCCGCCTTCTCTCGGGGCTTGGCTTTACCTTGGCAATCTGAGGGATGCTGGGCAGCTTGCTCAGGCCCGCCAAGGGGATCCGTTCATGCACCGTCTTCACTTTGGACCTGCAAAAGGAGAGGAATCAGTGAGGAAGGTGGCTGAGATCACGCCAGACCTCAGGGCAGGGACACTTGCTTCACGTCTCCCCAGGTCAGATCTGCCTCGTTCCACCCAACCCACGCGATGGGCACCACACTCAAGTGGTGGGAAAATGAAATGCTACATAGGTACCTCACACTGGGGGGGGGGGGGGGGGACGACATATAAAGGACCTGCCTGGTAAAGCTGTCCAAAACCAAAATATGGGAAAAGCCAAATCGTCACCTTCAAGTTCCCCATGATTTTTTGGGTCTCTTTGTGGGTTTTTTGTGTTCTCCCAGAGCACTGGGCACAGCTTCTATATATATTTAGGTTCTCACATGCAACTAAACCTTTATAAAAAGAAACTAATATCTGAAAATCTGGATTTACTCAAAATATAAATGGGATGAAAGTTGCTTTATAAAGGGATTTACCATAAGACTCTAAATTTATCCTGTTCCCAATTCATTTAGCACATTATGAGTGTGTTGAATTCTACTGAATGCTTTTCTGCATCTGCTGAGATAATTATAGGGTTTTTAATCTGTAAAACCTAGTGGATTACATTTCTGTTGAGCCATCTTTTCATTCCAAGGGTAAAATTCCACTTGCGTACGTATTATTTTTTCATATCAAGCTAAATTTAATTTGCTAATGTTTTATTTAGAGTTTCACATCTACGTTCAATAGCAACACTGGCCTATTTTTTTTTTCCTTGTGCTTCCCTTGTCAGGTTTTGATATCAGGGTGTTATTCCAGCCTCATAAAGTTGATGGAGAGCTTCTCATCGTGTGAAAGAGTTTGTATACCACAGGGATTTTCTGATTCTTAAAGGTTTGCTAGAAATCATCTGTGAAATCTCTGGGCCTCTTTTTTTTGTGGGAGGATCCCTGGGCTACCAATTCCATTATTTAATGGTGAATTTTTAGGTTTTCCATTCCTTATTGGATCAATTTTGGTCATTTATATTTTTCTATAAAATTATCCTCAAATGCATTGGTATAAAGTTGTTTGGGGTTCTCTTAGCCCTTCATCTCTATTTGCAGTTGAGTCCGTTCCTTCATGGCTGTAATACCATCTGTGTATTTTCTGTTTTCCTTCCTCAGCCCTCCCTAGGGGGTTGTCTATTCATCTTTTCAGGTAGACAGCTTTCAGTTTTGTTGATTGTCTCTATTTCTTTGTTATTTTTGCTTTCTACTTGGCTAGCTTGTTCTTTTCTCTATTTCCTTCCTTCTGTTTTCTTTGGGTTGTTTTTTTTTCCCTATTCTTTTTCTAACTTCTTGACCCACACACTTACACATTTAATCTTTCTTCGTTTTTATGAATGCATTTAAAACTATACATCTTTCTCTACTTTTTTTTTTTGCATCCCACACATTGATAAGTAGTATTTTCATTGTCATTTAGGTCTAAATATTTTGTCAATTCTTTTGTGATTTCCCCTTTAGCCCATGATTTATTTAAAAGGATTTTTCCTTAACTCTCCAAATGTATGACTGTTTTTCCTTCAGTATTCTAACTGTTGATTTCTAAATTTTTTATATTCATGGAACATAATCTGTATGATATTATTTGAAATGTATTGACTTAATTCATGGACTTTTTTCCCGTTTTATATGGATTTGAAAAGAATGTACGTTTTTCTTTTGTTGAGTTCGGGAAAGTATGTTACGAGATCAAATTTGTTTATTGTATTGTTCAAATCTCCTATATCCTCACAATTTTTTGTCTGCTTGTCCATCGGTATATGAGAGATCTGACTTAATTCATGGACTTTTTTTCCGGTTTTCTATGGATGTGAAAAGAATGTACATTTTTCTTTTGTTGAGTTCAGGGAAGTATGTTACGAGATCAAATTTGTTCATTGTATTGTTCAAATCTTCTATATCCTCTCAATTTTTTGTCTGCTTGTCCATCGGTATATGAGAGATGTTACTGAAATCTCCCATCATAACCGAGGATTTGTCTACTTCTCCTTATATTCCTAACAGTTTTGGGCTTTTTAAATTCAAAACTAAGTTACTAAGTACGGGTTTACACGTTCAGGACTGTTAGATCTTCTGGGTGGACTGTTCTCTTTATCATCACGTAGGCTGAGGACCCTGAGGCTCCCTTAAAGGGCATCTTTCCTTGCCCAGGTTATGAACACATTCAGAAACAAACAAAAAATGAAGAGTAAGGCATTTGGAAGTCAAAATAACTCCTTTGTTATTGGTCAAGGCCAAGAGGAGGCACGCAGGTTAGCGTGAAGATGAAATGAATCTTCTCACTGAACTCCAGAATTACCCACCCAGTCACAGCCAGTGCTGGGCAGGGGCAAGCCTCCTCGCGTGGGGTCTGCTCAGGGGGGACTTGCAGTCCAGGGGGGCAGAGGGAAGCCCTGATGGCAGCTAGCTCCAAGAGGGAAAGGGGAAGAACACAGGTGCATGTGTCAAGTTCTTGCTCCCAAATGCACCTAACGGAGAGGGCGGAGAGAGCCAGCGGTGTTGCACCAAGTGCTCCCTCCACACCACAGGAAACATCAAGAGTGGGAAGAGGTGCCCCCAAGTTACCAAGGAGTGCTCCTCTTACCCTACTAGTGCTTTTTTCCTGAAATTCTATTTTGTCTGATATTAATATTGTTATGCCATCCTTTCTTGGTGGGTATTTTCCCAGCATATCTTTTTCCATTTCTTCATCTTAAATCTTTTCACATTGTTTTTCTTTAGGTATGTCTTTTACAAGCAGAATATAGCTGTGTTTTTGGTTCCGTCTGGAGTTTTCATAGGCTATTTTAAACTATTTTTACTTATTGTGATTACTAATGTATTTCGACTTTTATTATATGGTGTTTTCTATTACCCTATGTTTTATGGTGGGTTTTTTTCTCCTTTCCTGTCTTCAGTTTAATAGAGTTTTTTAAATACTTTTTGTCACTCTGCTATACATTGTATTTCTATAACTTCTAATACACATATTTATAATACACATATATAAGTTTAGAGCCCAACAAACTCTAAACTTATTTGATATCTCTCTCTTGATTGTATTTCTATAACTTCTAATACACATATTTATATACTTGCCCAACAAACTCTAAACTTATTTGATATCTCTCTCTTGAGGAGAGAAGGGTAAACAGTAACTACTGAACCCTTCTCATCCCATTGCCCTTCTACTTTTGTTTATAAATTTAGCTCAAGCCTCTTTAAACACACAAATGACTTCTTTTTTCCAATCAGTAATCAATTTTATCAATGTAATTTGCCTATTTCTTGTCACTTTATAATTGCATCTTTTCTTTTGGTTTCTCTTTTCTTCTGGCTGATCCACACCCTTTAGTTATTCTTTCAGGGAGAGTGTGTAAGTAGTACACCACTCCCTTCATTTTCTTTATGTCTAAAAACAGTCTTATTTTGTCTTTGCGAATAGTTTTTCTGGGTATAGAATTTTAGGTTGAAAGGATTCTTTCTTTCTTTCCTTCAATATTTTCAAAATATTTTCCCATTGCTGACAAGAAATTGTGCCGTGGCTGATAAGAAGTCTGCTCTCAGCCTGGTTGTCATTACTTCACAGATAATGTCCTTGTTCTCAGGTCGCTTTAAAATGTTCTCTTTTTGTTGGTGTTTTTTTGTACTTTGTTGTTTTTTTAGAGAGAGAGAGGAAGGTAGAGGGCTAGAGAGAGAAAAACATAGATGTCAGAAAGAAACATGGATCAGCTGCCTCCAGCATGGCCTCTCCCCGGGATCGAGCCCACAACCAGGTATGTGCCCTGACCGGGAATGGAATGAGCAACCTTTCAACTCCCAACCAACTGAGCCGCATGTGCCAGGGCTTCTCTTTATCTTTGATGTCCTAATATTTCACTTCAATGTGTCTAGAAGTATTGTTTTGTTTTAAAATCTTGTCCAGCACCACAGGTGTGCTTCCTTTCTTCAATTCTGAAGTATTCTCAGCCATTCTCTCTTCGGATAGTTCTTCTCCACTGGCTTCTCCATGCTTTTCCTCTGGAACTCCTTTAAGACAAATGCTGGGGCCTCTCAGCCCAGTATCCATTCATCTTCTTTTTCATATACTTTATCACTATATCTGGACTGTGCTCTTGTTGAATTTCTTGACGAATTCCAATTCACAGATCCACTTTGACTGTTAAAAGACTAGGATGTATCCAATGTATTAAGTGTTTTTACTTCAACAACTATTTTTTTATTTCCAATAATTGAAATTGTTTCCTTTTCATACCCATGTATATCCATTCTGGATTCATTTCTATTCATTCATTGTATCATAATTTATTATCCCTTTTATAGATGCTATTCTTTATCTTCTGAGAATCTTAAATCTATTTAACTCATTTTGAAAGAGTACCATTATTTACATTTCATTGGATTAAATCCCTCTCTCATTGTTGGTATTTTCGGCTCTTTCTTAATGTCCGTTTTCCCTGGGTATTTTGGAATTTTCCCCCCATTTTGCTCTATCCTCAGTGCCAGGCACCCTGGTTCCAGTTCCCATCAGGGCCATTGGATAGCACAGCTCTTGAGGCGCCATTCATAATATATGACAGTCACCTGACTCATCAAGGCTGCCTCCTGACTCATCTGCCGGCTGCTTGCTGGCTTTGCCTTCCCTTCAAGCCCTCTTCCTTACCCTAGGCAGTGTTCATTCCACAGTGCAAGTCTGGTCATGACGGTCTCCTTCCAGGACCTTTCCTATTTGCTCACAGGATTAAAATCTAAGTTCCTAGACAGAGTTTATACACGATTTCGCCTTTTTAAAAATCTTCCCAGCACGACCATTCAACCTTACACACATTCACACGTACTATACACATGTATACACACACTCCACATTCCAGCTCTTGGGAACTTCTTTCACTTCTCCCAGACCATCTATCTTTGGATCATCCTCCCAAGCCAATAATAATCCATGTCCATAGGAGAAGATGAGTAAGAAGAAGGAATAAGAATACCTAATGGGAACGGAATGCTTCCTATAGCCAGGTAACAAGCGCTTATTCCTCACATGTCCCTCTCCCTAGAGAAAGTCTGGCATACATTGTTATGCTTTGGTTAGACAAACACTGAGTGGACAAATAATTTCCTAATATCAACCATTTCTGCATTCCTAAAGTAACTCTTTCTTGGCTATAGTGAATGATTCTGTTAATAGACTGCTTAGATTTGAGTTGCTGGAATTGGTATTTTATTTAGAATCTTTACTTCCATATTCATAAGGAATATTGGGCCCTATTTTCTTCTCTTTCTTTTTTCCTTTCATTGGTCTAATATCGTTCATGAGAATCTCCTAAGCATTGTTAAATTAATTGGGAAGCTTCCCATATTTGTTTCTATTGAGCAATTTAAGCAGCAAGAAATCTGTTCCTTGTGAGCCTAAAATAACTACCTGCAAACCATCCAGACCTACACACTTTTGGAGAGAGAATTTTTTGCAAACTTTTCCATTTATTACATAGTTATTGTTCGGGTTTTTAATCTCGTGTTAAATTAGCATGCTTTCCTAGAAAGGCATCTGTTTCAAATAAAATTCCCAGTATAATAATGTGGATTGAATATAACATCTATTAGTAATTTTTTAATCTTCTTCACATCTGTGGTTATATGCCTTTCCTAATGCCTAATTTTGTAGGTTTTTATTTTATGTTTATCTATATTTGACTAGCTAGTTACCTATTTTGTTGTTTTTTTCTTCCAAATGAAGTATATCTTTTTCTACACTACATATAAATCTGTAGCCTAGATTTATACATCAAGTCTTGTGCTCATTTTATTTCTAATTTATTTGTTGGCCTTAATCTTTCTTAATTCCTTCCTCTTATTCCCTTTAGATAACAATATTGATAATAACAGCAGCCATACTGAGTAGCTACAATGTATCGAATTATAAAAGCAAATATGTTTGGCAAAGTATCTGCTTTTTGAAATTTATACATATTTACTTTGTGCCACAAGAGATTGGTTCCTAAATCCACATGCTATCAAGAATTATCTGCAAGATTTTTAAAAATAGAAATTTGGACTAACAATTCAATTTTAAAAAGAAGCAAAGGTTATAAACACACTGTACAGAAAATAAATACATGTGTTCCTTAAATATATGAAGAGATGCCCAACATAATTCAGCAAAATTATTGTAAATTTAAACTACACTAACATATTATTTTTGCTGATCAGATTGGCAAAAATCCAAGTGCTTGACAAAATATTCTGTTGGAGAGGCTTTGGGAAAATAAGTACTCTGATACATTACTGGTAATGGTTCAAGGTTACAGACCTCCTCCAGAAGGCTAGTTGGCAATATCTATTAAAACACGAATGCATTTATGTTTTGACCCAGCCAACTCACTTCTGAGAAATTATTTTAAACCATACAATTTGTACCAGGTTACTCATTGCAGCATTATTTGTGATACCAAAATACTGACAATAGCCATTAATAGGGGATTTATTAAATAAATTATTTCATGTCCATGTAATGGAATACTATGCAGCAGTAAAAGGAATTAACAAGCTAACTTCTCCATGTACTAATATAGAAAGAACTCTAGATATATTGTTAAGAGAAGTCACAGAACAATGTTCTATAGAATTCTAGAAATAAAAAGGGAATAGGAATATATGTTATTACTTATGTCTTTATATATCTTACATATTTATATTCAAATATATATGTATGTGCATGTTTAAATTTTTATTGTCATTTTTAAAAAAACATGTGTTTGGTTTTTTGTTTTGTTTTGAAAGAGAGAGGCAGGCAGAGGGTTAAAGAGATGAAAACACTCAGCTGACCCTGCACATTCCCTACTGGGATGGAGCCTGCAACCCAGGCATGTGCCCTGACCGGGACTCGAACCAGGGACCTCTCAGTGCATGGATCAATCCTCAACCACTGAACCACACTGTCTGGGCTTTATTATCTTTTAAATGGTCAGCGCCTAGAAGTTTGAGTTTTGTTTTTTGTTTTTCGCTTTGCTCCAAGATGACTGTTGCAGCACATTCTCAGAAAACCACTGATCTCCTTACAATCAATGTGTAGATATTCCACAGGCACTTGAAAAGCAGCAGAAATCTCTGTTAGATAGTTTGATAGTTAAATATAGATAGATACAAATAAAGACCAATATATATAATTCACATAAATAATACTGAAATTATCCAAATCCTCTCATTTCCTATCTGTAAGTGATAAGTTGTGTTGAGCTGTAAGTGATAAGAAGTGTGTTTTAATCTACCACTATAATTGTATTCTGTGAATTTCTGCATATTTTAATCATTACATATATACTAGAGGCCCAGTGCATGAAAATTCATGCACTGGAGGGGGGTCCCTCAGCCCGGCCTGCCCCCTCTCACAGTTCAGGAGCCCTCAGGGGCGGGAGGCGACCCGGTGAACAGGGGAAGGTGACGCCCCCATCACACCTCTGCTGCTGCCACTGCCGACAGCGCAAGCTCGGCCGTCCCTGGTTACCTGAGCCTCGGGCAGCCCTGGGCAGCTGGGGGGCTGAGGGGACTGGGCGCATCTTGAGGCTGTGGGTGCCACCATCTTTGAGGGCGTGGCAGCAATTAGCATATTCCTTCTTTATTGGCTGGCTTGGCTCAGTTGGTTGTACGTTGGCCCATGTAGCGAGAGGTCCCAGTCAGAACACATGCCCGGGTTACTGGCTCAATCCCCAATAGTGGGCATGCAGGAGGCAGCCAATCAATGTTTCTCTCTCTCTCTCTCTCCCTCTCCCTTCCTCTCACTCTAAAATCAATAAAAACATTTTTTAGAAAAGAAAGAAAGGAAATAGCACCAGGGCAGGGCTATCTAAAGATATATTCGATAGTGTGTTAACTATACAAAAAAAGACACTGTACAGTTTAAAAACAAATCTTACACAGCCTTCCTTCTCAATTTTTTTCTTTAAAAGGAGTGAGTTGTGTGCAGGAGGTTAAATGCTTTATAGACAAGAAAAAAAAATTGTGCTAGAACCAGCCTCTTCATCATCTTCATCTTCTTCCTCCTCATCATCCTTTTCTTCTTCCTCGTCTTCCTTTCCTTCTTCTTTTTCTTCTTTTTCAGCCCTGGCGACTCCCTTCTTGCTGCACCTGGCTCTCCTCTAGCTCGGGATGCAGCAGTAGCCTTCAGCTCAGCAGCCTTCCTTTCCGCAGGCTGCTGGCCGGCTGCAGCAGCACCTCCACATCTCCCCCAGCTTCTCTGCAGCATCATCAATGGACCAGCCGGATGCTCTCCTTTGATTTTTGCTAACAACTTCCCGGTACCGCCCCACCTCTCCCATCACAGGGCTCCGTGTCCCTGTCCCCTCCCATATTTATCTCAAAATTTGGGCAGAAAAAAATGTTATTGCTCTTTTCCAAATGTTATTGTTCATTTCCTTCAAGGACTTCCAATTTGATTCAACAAGTAGGGATCGGGAGCCTGACAGTTCACAGCTCCCTGCCAAGCACCGGCCTCGGCCTTCGCACTGGCCGTCCTGGCTTCCCCACCGGCCCAGGGACAGAGAGGAATGAGACGGACTCTGTGCTCCACAGCACCCTGTGCCTGTCACTGAAGCAGCACCTGCGCCACACACTGAAATCCCCTTCTTCTCTCCCTCTGGAGAGGAGGGACCACCGCTCAGTCACCACTGCCGCCCAAGCCCCTATCACAGTTCCTGGTACAAAGGCGGTTCCACGGGACATGTTAGTCGAACCGAACGGAAGCCGGTTCCGGAGAGGTCCCTGGCTTAGCTGTAAATCGGTGCTCCTGTTGTGGCCACCACCACATCCTGAGGACCCAGCAGGCACGCGGACACTTTGGGGTCTATAGTTCCCGACTGGATGTGTGCCATGGGCAGGGTCCCGGCAAACCCTCTCCCAGGACCACGTGGGACTGTGTCTCTGCAAAATGAGCCATCGCTATTTTTCCTCTCCGTCTTCCTCACAGCCAGAGACAGGCGGGTGAGGGTAAGGTCTACGTGACCTTGAGACCAGGATGCCACTCCGACTCCCACAATCAGTCAGCTGGCAAAACACCTGGTCTTCCTGCCTGGCAACCCGAACATAGAACATAGGCCGGTCTGTCTCCATCTGGGTCCCCACCACTAGGGGTGTGGTCTCCAACCGTGCCGCAGCCCCACCTGAGAATAATCCGAAGGTACTCAATGCCCTCCACCTCCTCGCACTTGATGGACAGGAGCAGGTTCCCCAAACTGCTACCGGTACAGTAAAAGTTTAGATGATCCTAGAAGCAGAAATCGGGTGTTAGCAGGGAGGAGGGGGCCTTCCAGGCACAGCCCCCAAAATCACCTCCTTCCCCAGGAGTGAGAAGCCCCACAGCAAGGAGGAAGACCAGCTGTGGCTGCTATAGATGGGGAGGAAGAGGAGAAGAGGGAGGAGGAGAAGAGGGAGGAGGAGATTAGTGCGTGGGAGGAGGGGGAGGGGGAAGTGGGGGAGGAGGAGGAGGAGGAGGACGACGAGGACCAAATCTTCAGGCTGTCTGTGCCAGGCACTGGGCTAATTGCTTAGTACCCATTATCTCCTTTAACCCAGACCATGGCTTTATGGGGGCAGCTCCCATGTCACAGATGGAGAAAACATGTGCAGGCAGGTTAAGTCACCCTCCAGGGTCACACAGCTAGTAGGCGGCAGATCCGGGATTCAAACCCACACCCGCCTCGACTGCAGCTCAAGTGCTTCCCCACAAGACACTGAGTCCACTCCTCGTCCCAGGGAGCAGCCCCTGCGGCTTCAGGCGATTTGTGAGAATGAAGGAGGGGCAGGGCCTGGCACCTCCACCAAGGGGAGCCGGGAGATCTCTGGACAGTGGGTCTCAGCCCGGCTCAGGGGGCGCACCCAGCCTGCTGTATTAGGGCGGGGCCTGGGATCTGCATTCTAACAAGGCGGGGAGACAGGGGGATCCTGATCCATCTCCTCCCCCGGAGACTCAGCAAAGGTGACGGGCCGGAGACTCCCGGAGCCTGGCAAGGGGGACTTCCGGAACCAGGCAAGGCTGAAGGGCGGGATGTATGGAAAGAAACGGACCTGTCCCGGTTAAGCAGTCAGAGGCTCAGCGCACATCCCGGCACAAGCACAGGGGACCTGCCTGAGTGAGGCCATGAGAGATTCGTACTATTTACATGGACACAGAGACTTCCAAGGAGTGAGAATGTATTTTCTCCTTCCACCCCCCAAGCACTACCTAGTCCATCGCCTCCTAGAACATCTGCCGGGGGCGGTCCCCACAAGGACCCATCACACTGAGCCCCCTGGGCTCCTGCACACCCCCTGCCCCCCGCCCAGGAGCAGAGCCAGGCAGACCTCTCCAAGGAGGACAGAGGCAGGCGGCGAGGGAGGGGGAGGGCAGAGAGGGGGCACTGGGGAGAGACGCTGGGCTCCCCAGGCAGACCCCCCCCCCCCCCCCCCCCCCCCCCCCCCCCCAGCAGCCGCGTTCACCAGGGCCTGGCCTCACCTTGCCCAGGAAGTGCCTGCGGTAGGCCCTGGCTTCACTCTTGCACTCGAGCTTGTAGCCAAAGGTGCTGGGGCTGAAGCTGTCCTCTTCCTCCTCCTCACAGATGCTGCTGCCCAGCGAGGTGGGCGTGCCCACGTTCTCCGGGTCCTCGATCCAGTAGCCCCCAAATTGGGGCAGGACGATCAGGGGGTACGGGCCTCCCTTCTCCACAACCTGGAGGCAAAGGGAGAGTGTTGCCCTGCAGCCTGCCCTGGTCTGCGGGGGGAGTGGAGGGGCGCCAATGGTGGTATCCCCCCACCTCTGAGCTACTCCCACAGAGGGGACCCCCATATAGGAATCCAAAGGCAGTCGCATGAACCCCTCCTCCAGGACCCACACTATCTCCAACTTCGGCACTCCTGAGTTTTTTTAAAAAAGCTGAAGTCACAAACGGGAAAGGTCTCAGGCCCTCAGGTCCCAAGGCTCTCCCCACCATGGGGAGGCAGAGGGACCATCACCATCATCGCCATCAGCTCCCTGGGCCTTGCCCCCGAGACAGGATCCAGGGGGCTCCTACCTCGTCAATGCTGGGGTACGGGATATAGTCGTCCTGCAAGACAAACACACAATGCCACCGTCAGTCCCAGCACGGCCCGGCCCGTGAAGCTTGGTCACCATTTCCCTTCCCTCCCCCAGGTCCGGGGGGAGGTGTTGGGGGCCTGGCAGGCTGCACCAAAGCGGGTGAACAGCCTAGAGGCAGCTTGGGCTCTGGCTTCTCTCGAGTTCATCCCCGAACTGACAGAACCTGAGTGCAAAGGGGCCAGCGGAAGATGCAGTGCAGAGGAAGGAAGACACAGGACACAAGGCGCTGGACCTCACACACATCCTGACACGAGCTGCTCTCCCAGGAGGTTCCAACAGGGCGACGGCCCTGGTCCCCCCCAGGCAAGGGGGCTGGCCTCTAGGTGATAAGCTGCACTCCTGGGCCTTGGGAACAGAACCTGAAGCTGAGAGCTGGCTGCCTGCTGGAGCCTGGAGCGGAGCCTGACACCCCGACACACTGTGTGGTTCGCTCCCAGGAGCAGGTGTGCGGGAGCCAGGCCACACCGCGAGCCTCAGGTCTCCCCCGAGGCCTCCACCCCAGCCTGCTCTGACGGTGCCTAAAGGCCTCAGCCAAGGCCTGCCTTCCTGCTCACCATGCCCTAGTCAACAAGGTGAAAATCAGAGTTAGATGGTGTGAGACAGCGGACCCCAGCATGCTGGCCGCTGCCCCTGCCTTCCTCTCACCTGGCCCCCTCACGGGGCCCACCTGGCTGCCACCTCGCCCACCCAGCCCACCTTGTTCTTCTGGGGTCCCGGCTTCTGCTCTTCAAGCTTGATCCCCTGCAGAAACAAGGAAAAGAGGATCCATGGAAAAGCAAGAGCCACAAAATAGAGACGGCACGGAGGAAGGAGACCCTTGGGAGCACCTGCCTTAGCTGGGGGTCAGTGGTAATAACGGCCAAGGGCTGCCACGTGCTGGGCCCTTGCAAGTCATACACCTCGGCACACTCAGACCTCACAGCAGCCCGGACGAGGCAGCAGGGCAGGCGGTGAAGGGCATGGACTCAGCCAGATCACCAGGGTTCAAATCCCAACACTGTCACTTACGACCTTACGACCTTGGGCAAGTCACCTCTCTGTGGCTCAGTGTTCCCAGCTGTAAGATGGGAACAGTAAGGGCACCTACTATGGTGGTGAAGGTAAAATGTGGATAACATGTTAAGCCCGTGGAAGAATGACCGGCATAGAGTAAAGGCTATGGCGTATTGCTATCCCGGGGTAGGCAGTATCGTCGTCATGGTGTTGAAATATCGCCCCCAGTCTCCCAGAGGATGAGGTGAGGGGCAGAAAGGGAACCCATGTCTGTGGGGGTCAGAGCCAGACTCTGGGTCTCATGCCACACCAGCTCCACCCCCTCCCTGGTGAGAGGGCCCATGGGTGGCAGGCAGGTGGCCTGCGCCTGGTCCTCATTCTGCCACTCTCCTGCTATTAGTAACGCTTCACAATGCTAAGCCTTCTGCAGCGCTCCTTGTTTTCTCTGTGAAATGAGGATTCTAACACCCGCCCTTCCCCTCACAGATGTGTCCCTGCAAGGAGCAGACACCACGGGGGGCCTGGGTTAAATGGCTCCCCTGCACCCTGCAGCATCG